TCATTTTTATTTATTAAATACATTTTATTAAGTCCAAATCTGTGTTTAATTTGCCTGAATGTGACATAACTGTATATTTTCCAAGTTTGCTTAAAGAATTTTTTTTATGTGCAAAATACCTTTACTCATTAAATACTCATACCTTTTGTTCTTTTAATATTTTGAATTGTTTTTAGCTTTATTTTTTTAGTTTTCATTTAAATGTTTAGTTTTGAAATGTTGTTGTATGCATTTGTCATTTCTATTTAATTTCTTTTATTTTCTTAAATGTGTGTGTGTGTGTGTGTATATATATATATAGTGTTTTTAGAGTTTTAGCTTTTAGTTTTAATGACTTTTTCTTATTTGTAAGTCGCTTTGGATAAAAGCGTCTGCTAAATGACTAAAAGTAAAGTAAAATACAAAAAGTATTAAAATACCCTGTTTTATTAGTGTGTATATATAGATATAGATATATACTTCTATACATTTCAGTGCACATGGTCTGATCTGTTAATAGTTGGTCTGTGTTGAGCGCAGGTGTGTGGAGTTTGGGTCAGGATGCGGCCGGCTCTGTTCCTCTGTCCCGTCCTGATCTCTGTGTTGTTCCTTCTGTCTGGACTGACCCTCATCAGCGGCTGTAACAAAGCTCTGTGTGCCAGCGACGTCAGCAAATGTCTTCTACAGGTACAACTGATGCTTATTTATCACGCCGGGTCAGTTCCCAATGTTTCCTCTCCTCTGGAATTTTTATTTTAATTGCAATTTTCATCTTCATCAACCTTTTAATAATAGACATTCATGCTGAATTCCACAAGTCATGGATAATGTCAGGGAATTTGAAAATGGCTGTGTTATGTGTTAATGTTAGCTCTGCTCTAAAATATTTCAACAGATATGAATTGTGTTTTGAGAGTATGAAATCTGTAAATCATGATTATTCCTAAAAGTCAGTATTTAATAATGATGAATGCCTTGAAAAGTAATGTAAAGCGACTGGTCAGAAGGTGTAGGAGCTCCAGCAGGTGTCTCATGCTCTGGTACGGTTATATTTACACTAGAAGCAAATCTAATCATCATTAACAAAGATGCATTGTTTTAGGGTTAGGACTTCTTTTTTTCTGCAAAATGCCTCTTTGGTAGCTCAAGTTGGACGTGTGGAATACTGAAAAATGTTTGAAAACATTCCCAAAATGAAACATTCCTGAGTGAAACAGGAGAACGATGCATCGCTTTCCCTCATGGAATCAGAGCACACACATGTTTTCAGGTTCCTGAGAGCAGAACATCATAATATTGTGCTGAAGCTCCAGTCTGAAGCTTTTTCTGTGATGTTGTGATGTTCTTCTGTCTGTTGTGCTCTCCACCGCAGAAGCGCTGGGTGTAACTCGTGTAATACTGGATCACTTTTTCCCTGGAGCGTAACGACGGCTCTACGCTGTGTGTGTGTGTGTGTGTGTGTGTGTGTGTGTTTCATGTTATTTTTGTGGCTCTTTCTGTTGTGCATTTGGCTCAGTGTTGATTTTTTATTTTAAATTTAGATGTCTGCCTATACAAAAGTATACTTGGGAAGGTCCTTTTATTTATTTTATTTTTAAATTCTGCTTTCCTAAATAATTTCTGTTTTCTTTCTTTCTTTCTTTGGTTTTCATTTCTCTCTCTCTCGCTGCTGTGATTGGATCTGTGTGTGTTTACTCTGGTCTGTGTGTCCCGGTGAGACTGGGAGAGGAAGGGAGACAGAGACAGACACTCGGGGGACGTGACACGTCTGTCTGGGGAGTAAACACAGAGGTTCATGATGTTACACGAGTAAACAGCCCGGCACACGCACCGATGAGAGACAAACCAGAGCAGATGAGGAAAACCTGCTGAAAGCATCAAAACACCGATTTTCATTTTCTGAAGACCATAGGATGCTGTGCGTTCGGTTTGTTAGAGAGTGACAAATGTTATTATTATATTATTAAAGTGATTAAAATAAAAAAATGAAATCAAATTAAATAAAATTAAATCTAAATGGAAATATTTCATTATGAAAGAACTAAATTAAGATTACTAAAATTAATATAAACATTTAAAATATAAATATAAAAGCTAATTTAATATTAATAAATACTATTATTATTAATTCATAATCTAATATTAATAAATACTATAATATTATATAAATAAAACTAAAAGAACTGAATGTTTTCAAATAATACTCTACACAGAGCCACATTTTGCATTTTCATTTCATTTTTCTGTATCAAAAATCTAATGAAATAAAACCATGAAACTTTTAATCAAACAATTTAATCAATATTAAAATGTAAATAAATACAAATATAACAATTCATTTACAACAAATACATTTGAATTTTTTGGTCAAATAAGGTTCTGTATAAGTTCAAACATGGATGAAACTTGATGAATCTTGGTTGTATGATATTAAACATAAAAATATCAATGTTATGTTTTAATAAACTGTATTATTTTTAGTTTTAGAAGTACATTTCACTATAAAATATCAATGCATTTGTCATAATTGCATGTGCCTGATCATCTAGAGGATAAATGTAGAAAATTACTCAAAAGTTTATTATTGATATGATAGATTTATTTCAATATCGATTTATCTCCCAACCCAAGTTGCCAGGACATTGCCAGTATGGTTTCTGGTGTGTTTTGGAACATTGCTATGGTGTTGCTAGGTGGTTAGTTGGTTGTTATGCATGTTTCTACTGTAGGTGGTTTGAAATCTGTTGAAAGTTCCCGTGAATATTTGTGTGTGTGTGTGTGTGTGTGTGTGTGTAGTTACTGAAAGCTGTGGCTGTCAGTCGTGTGTCTCTAGGTGGGGCAGCTGAGGTTGTTTTAGTCACACATGAATGCTTTGTGGGGCAAGGCAGCACACGTTAGTCTGCTCAGAGCACTTTAACACTCTTGCAGCACACACACACACACACACACACACACTTTCTCCTGCTCTCTGTTCTGCTGTCTCACAATAACAGTTAGTTTGGGTCATGTTGGTTTCATCCAACAGTACACTAAAAGAACAGTGAATGAAAGTGAATGTCAGCATCAGTGTGACAGGTTGAGCTCTGAAGAGGAAGTGAGGGCACACAGGAACCGCCAGGTGTTCACGGCCCCCGTCCGGACCCCAAAACTGCCCTTCATTTAGAGGAATGTTCTCTCTTAGTTTCAGTTTAGTGTGCTTTATTGTCATGACAAACACTGTACATTAACATCACTGGGGCATTAAATGAGCTCAAAATAAGCCAGCATGAAGCATTTTAATTCTGTTTTGTCATATCTCAGAGTAAAACTGTTTAAAAAAAAAAATTGCATGAAAAAAACAACAATTAAAGCCAATATTTTCCATCCAAACAGGAAAATAAATGTAGATGGAAAATTTAGAGTAAAGATTACAGTACATTTGTATTTATTTATTTATTTATTTATTTACTTACTTGCAATTAAATTAACTGTGAGAACTGATGTCAGTTGGATCATCATTAAACCTTTTCTTCTGTAAAAAAATAAATTTATATAAAAAGAAAAAATCATTTTTAAAAACTGAACAGAAAAACTGAGGTTGAGCATTTAGATGAAATAATGTGTTAACAAATGCTTTGAATAATAATTATTTTTTTATAATAACAATAGCATTCACTAAAATCATTTACAAAAAAAACAGGAAAAACATAATAATATTAAATAAAATTATATTAAACAATAATTTTACTAATATCTTAAAATATTTAGTTAAAAAATGCATTTGTGTGTGTATAATATTATGAAATTTATATAAAATATTAAGAACATTATTTTTAAAAAAATGTGTATATTTCACCAAGAATGTAGTAATTTTATTTATTAAAGGGGTCATATGATGCTTTTTTAAAGATCATTATTTGGTGTATTTGGTGTAACAGAATATGTTGACATGCTTTAATGTTCAAAAAACAAATTTTTTTTTTCAAATACTGAACATTATTGTAGGTCCTCTATGCCCCGCCTCTCTCAAACGCTTCGTTTTCTACAAAGTCCCGCCTTCCGACAAGCGCAGTCTGCTCTGATTGGCCAGCTGACCCAGTGCATTGTGATTGGCCGAACACCGCAATCACTCGTCGGAAATGTAACACCCCTTACCATAATCGCGAGCTTCATCTTTCAAAATAAATGTAAAGAAGGAGCCCGAAAGGGTAGCAGAGTCGTGTAACAGACACAGTGATGAAGCTGGTCTCTCTCACTCTCTCTCTCACGCGCGCACGCACGCACACACACACACACACATGATGTGCAAAACTCCGCATTTGAACAGTCAATAGCAAATACTTAAACTAATAACAAAACAGTAGCTGATTCAGAAGCGCCAGATTGTCATAGCAAAGTCAGAATGACCTCCTCTCCTAGGTTCACGAAACGGTCGTCCATAAAATGCATTGCTGTTCTGTTGTAAGTGATCTTAAAGATTTCTAAATGCATCTACTTTCGGAAGGCCAAATAAAGTGATTTTGCTTTCGCCTAGAAACACACAGCGTCTCCCTGACATGCTGCTTCAACACTAACTGCGGTTACTGAAACCACGCCTTCTTTCTTTGCATGCACATTTGGGCGGCATTATGCTAATATTTCCACATAGTGAGGTAGATATGTGGGGGCGTGTTAGAACGAGCCGTTTTAGGGGGGCGTGGCAGAGTCTTAACTTTGATAAAGAATATCTCTTTGGGTTTGTGACTTAAGTCTTTGCAACTTCAGGGATCTTATCTATGCACAATCAGCTTGTAACACTCCAAAGAGAAAGGAAAACTTGAAATCGCATCATATGACCCCTTTAAGTAACTTGAAATGTAATAAATTAATTGTTAGAATTGATATCAGTTGGATCATAAATAACCATTTAATTTTTTACATTTTGCATGCACTATCAGACATTATAGTCGCAGTGAAGCTTCATCTCACAGCTGGGCGAAATCGTCTCTTTTTCAGATGACCCCGTGGATTGTTTGCAGGTACAGCAGGAGTCTGTGAGGCTGTGTTTGGACAGGTTGTGCTTCAGTGTCTTGACCTAAAGTAAACTGAGCTTTTATGGCTTTTATGTAGTTTGGCTCGATGATTCTTTTAAGGAATGCATGAAAATGGCACACGCAATTCCCCAGACTAAAGAGAACTGGACAGGGATGGGGAATTGTCTGGGCTTGTTTCTTTTGGAAGGATCTGGCCCACGTGTGTTTTCAGGTATTGGCTTTTCCGTAGTCGCTTTTATGTGTTTCTATTGTAACTCTTTAGAACTTTCAGTTTTAATGAAACACACACACACACACATCTGGAAATTGACCTCTTCCTCACAAATGCTGGCAAAACACGAAACGCAGAGAGCCAAATGTGTGTCTGTGTTCTGCTGTTTTCTCTGTAATTATAACTCTAAATGTGTCCCAGGTTTGGGTCAGTCTTTTTCCCCTCTCCGCTGGGGCGTTGGACATTTTTTCCAGCGTGGAACAGTTCGCAGCTCTGTTTCTTCTCAGCCTGGTGCTTTTTCTCATGTTTAAATGTTCTTTGTCTCTTTGGGTGGTTTCCTTTTAACTCTTGCAGCTGAAAGATCTCGATGTTTCCTTCAAGACTCACGGCTCTCTGTAGCACATGTGTTTGGAGAGCATGTTTATGTGAGCTAGACTTCCTCCATGTCATCTCATTTTCCCCCTGCATGTTTACCTTTCGTAATGTATATTGTGTGTGTGTGTGTGTGTGTGTGTGTGTACAGGGTCTGTGTCAGTGCCGGCCGTCGGAGGGAAACTGTTCATGTTGTAAGGAGTGCATGCTGTGCTTGAGCTCTCTGTGGGAGGAGTGCTGCGACTGTGTCGGTGAGATTGAAATGAACAATAACTATTATTTAGTTTAGTTTAGTTTTATATTTTATTATTTTTTTGTTGTTTTTGATTAATTGGTTTATTTTAAGCAATCAAAAATTTAATTAAAATTATACATTTATATATTTAAAAAACTACATTATGAAACATTAAATTATAAAATAAAATATTTGTAGTTTATAGTAATGACACTTAAAACTTATAGTCTTAAAATGTTTTGATGTATACATATTCCATAATAATACATTATGTGGTTATTTATTTTATTTGATTATTTTGGAGTAATTGGTTTATTTTAATCAATAAAAAACTAAATATAATGTTTACATTTATATATGCATAAAATAAATTATGGAGGTGTTTGTTTTTTTAAATAATTTATTATTAAATTAAAAAAATATATATTTTTAGCTTATAGTCTTGGCTCTTAAAACTTGTAGTCTTAAAATGTTTTGTTGTATACATATTCCATAACAATACATTATATGTTTATTTTATTTTATTTTATACACCTAATTTTAAATGCTAAAATAAATAGTCCCATAATGCGTATCAAATCATAAATAAACAAATATATTTTACACATCTGGTTTATGTACAATGACTGAAATCAAATAAAATGATAGAGTAACAAAATAAAATAATAATATAAAATAAAATAAATGAAACAAAATAAAATGAAGTGAAGTTATTATAAGAAATGCTTATTAGGATTATTAAGGGTCGCACCAAGACTATAAACTGAAGAGCTCGTTTGGCTCATTCCCAGTCCAGTGAGAGCTCTTGTAAATATTAGGACTGGTTTGTAGATGACAGGAGGCCTGGTGTACACTCCTCTGACAGCAGGATAAAGTGTGAGGTGAGCTGATCCAGATACTCCCAGCTTCAAACACAGACTCCAGGTCAGTTCAGATGAGGTTTGAACGTACAGCCGATCAGAGTACAAAAGTTGAAACCATATCATTCTTCAATACAAAAATTAGTAGTTTATGATGCAAAGAGGGTTAGAAAAGCAAGTTTTCATTCTCTATATTCGAATGGTATCCTCTTCAATCATTGCAAAACCACACGGATCATAATAATGCATGAGCAGTAATAATCTAATCAACAAAGCTACTGATCAAACTTTTAATTGACCGAGGGTTTTATGTCAAGATGAGAAAGATGCATCATACCTAAGACAGTCTAAAAATGAACACGATGCATGATGCATCCGTTTCTCACAACAAGGACCCATCAGATTGTAGAGATCGTTCTGTTCCAAACACTGGAACTGGGCTGTGTGTTGTTCCTGAGGGCCGAACCTGCCATGGTTTTGGTAATCAGAAGCAGCTGTGCTGGCAGCCGCTCCGCAGATAATCTGAAACACAAGGTCTCTACAGCGTTCTGCTCCTTCATCTTTAAAACCTTCATCCACCATCTGATTACCTTCCTTACCAGCAGTTTATCTCTCCAAGTGGAGCTGCTGTTGACAGTCATGTTTTATTGTCTTTAAATATGTCACAGTATTTACTTAAGAATAAATAAATAAAAGTTCACTAAAAATAGAAATGCACACATGAAATTTTTTATTTTTTTTATCATTTAAATTTTTTATTTTAGAATTGTCCTTGCTTAAATCTTAGAAATCCTAATAAATAAGTTATTTTATTTTATTTTTGTCTACTCAAATCTTAATAATCCTAAAAATCCTTCGTAATCAGAAGCAGCTGTGCTGGCAGCCGCTCCGCAGATAATCTGAAACACAAGGTCTCTACAGCGTTCTGCTCCTTCATCTTTAAAACCTTCATCCACCATCTGATTACCTTCCTTACCAGCAGTTTATCTCTCCAAGTGGAGCTGCTGTTGACAGTCATGTTTTATTGTCTTTAAATATGTCACAGTATTTACTTAAGAATAAATAAATAAAAGTTCACTAAAAATAGAAATGCACACATTAATTTTGTTTTATTTTTTTTATCATTTAAATTTTTTATTTTAGAATTGTCCTTGCTTAAATCTTAGAAATCCTAATAAATAAGTTATTTTATTTTATTTTTGTCTACTCAAATCTTAATAATCCTAAAAATCCTTCATTTTTTATATCATGTTCAAAATTAAATTAAATTAAAATATATTAAATAAAAAATATTTTGTGTGAAAAACAAACCATTATTGAACCTCCTTTGGTCTATGTAAAAAATCAAATAATATAAATATAATGTAAACATTTACATGTAAATATTTTAAAAAAGTATAAAATTGTCACAACATTTCCTCAAATATGAATATAAAGTAGTGTGAACATTTGCATTTACTATAAAAGTGTACAAAATTGTCACAATATGTATCCAAAAAAAGAAAAGAAAAAATCATTAAAAAATGCAAAACAATCTGCATTATTTATTGCTTTTAGTACATGTATATCAGCCAAGCAGTCTTCAAATTCTTCATTTGTGATCATGTTTGCTTTTTTGTTGTTGTTGCTTTTCCATCATGATGTGTGCACCGTGGTGAAGTTCTTTCCGTTACCGTTTTTTCTGTCCCACAGGAATGTGTAACCCCAGGAATTACAACGACAGTCCTGCCACCTCCAAGAGCACCGTCGAGGAGCTGTACCGCCCAATCCCGTCGCTCTTCCGTGCTCTGACCGAAGGCGACGCCCCCATTAACATGATGGTCGTGTCGTTCCCTGTCGCTGAGGAGCTTTCCCACCACGAGAACCTCGTGTCTTTCCTGGAGACGCTCGACAGCCAGAGCCACAACATCTCCCTGCCCAGCAGCAGCAGCGTCCATGATGGTGCGTACCGCCTGACAAATCTCTAGGAAAACATATCAAAACATGATTTTATCTTGTCTCCGAATACCAAAGATGATTAGGCATGATTGTACTGTTTAAGGAAATAGTTCTGCCAAAAATTAACATTTGGTTAAACAATGAATATGCTGTCATCTCCTCCTCTCATTCTCTCCTCTCCTCCTCTCCTCTCATCATATCCTCCTCTCCTCTCATTCTCTTCTCTCCTCTCATCATCTCCTTCTCTCCTCTCCTCTCCTCTCCTATCCTCTTCTCTTCTCTTTTCTTCTCTCCTCTCCTTGTCTCCTCTCATCTCTCCTCCTCTCCTCTCCACTTCTCTTCTCTCCTCTCCCCTCCTCCTCTTCTCTTCTTTTCCTCTCCACTCCTCTCCTCTCCTCCTCTCCTCTCCTATCCTCTCATCCTCTCCTCTTCTTTTCTCCTCTTCTTGTCTCTTCTCTCTCCTCTTCTCTCCTGTCCTCATCCTGTCCTTGTCTCCTCTCCTCGTCTCTTCTCTTCTCTCCTCTCCTCCTCTTCTCTTCTCTCCCCTCCTCCTCTCCTCTCATCCTTTCCTCTCCTTCTCTCCTCTCCTCTCCTTGTCTCCTCTCTCCTCTCCTCC